CGCGGAGGATGGGCCGAGCCCCACCGCGCAGCAAGCCCCGGGCCGCGGGAACGGGGCCAAGCTGACTCCCGAGGAGGGAGAGATTTTCAACGAAAAACGACCAAAGGAAATTCAGGATAAATATGATGAAAGGAAAAAGAATGCCCAAATCAGTCCTGGGGGAGCAGTTCTAGCAAAGGGGGTTTCTTGCACGCTTCGCTCCAAGACCAGGCCAGTGTGGCTGAGCAAGTGGCTTACGTGCTAGAGGGCAAGCAGCTGGAGTTCTCCCTGAGGAAGATCGAGGCCCTGAAAGGCCAATAAACCCGCCCTCCTACCTTAGCCCATGTACTAAAGGTGTTTATTCTAAAAAAAAAAAAAAAAAAATAAAAATCAGAGACAGACGGTAAATGGAGACGCTGAGATGTATTGAGCCTGTGTCCTGTCTCTAGCAGAGTTCATACCCCCTGGGCATAGTGACATATCCAATAACACGCAACAGAAGGAACACAACGTGGGTCTTCCCTGAGTGTGAACTACTGTCAGCAAGGCAGACGTACCGATCAGGTTTGAAATTTCGTTCACCTCAAGAGGGATCTGAAGAGGCTTCAGACGACAACTATTTCAGAAGCTGTCGGGGTGCAGACTTATCTGCTTGGAATAAAAACCTTCAGAGGATCTTTAATCTACTCAGGACAGTAGCTCAATGGTCTTGCCCACAAGAAAGGTCCAAGTAATTTCTGACTCTATATTTAAACCTAAAATTTGTGTCTTCTAAAAAATCTCTTCCTAGAGAGAAAAAAAAAAATCCCTGAAGATCTTACTTTATAATTATACCGAAGTTCTCTTTTAAAATGGACCAGCAGATCCCACTGTAAATGCATTCTAATTCCTTCCTCCTCCTTGCTGTTTGTTGCGATGCTTGTTATTTCTTATTTCTCTGAACAATATCCAGGCAGCTTCAAGAGAAAATCCATTAATGCCCCTACATTTGCATTTGTATAGCGTTTTCTCAGTTCTTCAACACGATATAGAAGAACACATAATGACGGTTTCCAGGGACCCGTCAAAAAAAAAACACTGTGTTGGAAAATAAGAGAGGTCTGCGGAGGATTTGGATTCATTTAAAAAAATCACCTAAGGGACCTGCCAAATTGCTACTATCTGTCGCAGACACGATGCTCATTAAGAAACCCCTTTGGCTCATGATTTATTGATTGGAGACCAAATATCCCGGAAGACTCATAAATGACTCTTTGAATGGGCTTCTAAACCCCCTCCTACATTATGCTTCAGATGCATTTGCACCTGACTTAATCTCTATGAAAATGTATCCATTTTTCCTACCTCATTACTTAGATTGTTATATAAAAAGATTATGTAGCTGGAATATAAACAACAGAGTTTTGGTGAACAAGATATCATCAGTCATATTATATACTAAAAACAATTTTCAGGTAGATGTTACTTCAAATCCAGGGTTTTGTATTTGAGTGATTTGCTGAAATGCTTTTCAAATCTAAGGATGAGGACATTCAGATGGATCAAGCTGCAGATATTTTTAGTCCAAAACAGGCTTTCTTTAACTTCAAGGACAAAAAAAAATCAAAGTATCAGCATTTTCTCTACCTCCGAGGATATTTAATAATTACTGCAAATACTCGAATCCGAAAAATTGTCAGCATTCTATGCTGGCATGAGGTATGAGAATTAAACAAGCCAACCCCTGGTTTCTGAAGAATTTAGAAGACTGAAACCAAAGTGATTCCCTGCAAGCTATAAGCTGGATCTAAGTAGAACAAATCAAACCAAATAAAGAACAGATGAGCAAATAACACGTTGTAAACAACAAAGAACATGGTCATTTTGAAATCCACAAAGTTAAAAAAAAAAAAAAAGCTGGCCATAGACTTAGAACAACTGAAAAGACGGAAAGTCTGCTAAGGCTTTAAAAGCCTTTTCTAGGTGTTGTTCATTCATTCGCTCAATCCAAACCCTCATTCAGAAAAACATTACTGGTGGCCTATGCTGTGTTAGACATTGAAGAAACAATGGCCAGTTAGCCAATATTTTCTTCATCAGGGAACATAAAGCCTATTTTGAGAAAATGAACCCTAGATAAGTTGTAACAAGCGGAGGGCAGGAGTGAACATTAAGTGTGAACTACTTTGGGAGAATATAACTGGTCTGGAGGATGAAGGCATGAAGGCACATTTCCCGAGGCAATAATGTGGAGCAGAGCTGCAGAGAAGGCATGGGCTTCACAGTGAGTGGATGCAGCAAGGCAGAGGTGGCGGTGTAGTCGTGATGCACTGGGTGGTTGGAGAAGTGGCCACAGATCGAGGACACGACAGTGGGAACAGAAGCTCTGAGGTGGGGAAGCGGATAGACTGTCTTTAGAACTGAGTGTCAGGCAGCTCTCCGAGAGAAGACTGAAAATATGATGGACAAAAGATCGGACCGTGCAAACCTTAAAGATCCGGGTCAGGAATCTCCACTTTACACTGAGAGATGTGAAAAGCCACTGATGGGTTTTAATGAAGAGGTTTTAAATCTGTATTTAAAACCAAACAAATCAGCAAAAGAACCATGCTGGCTATAGCATGGAGGCTGGGTCATAAGGCAGGGATCAAAGTGGGGAACTAGCTCTGAGGCTATTTCATTAAATAATGTGAGCGATGATGCTTTTGTTGGACAAGGCTATTGGAAGTACAGTCCAGGACGAGAGAGACACAGAAGTGAGAACTGTAGCCCTTGGACATGGGCAACATGTGAGTCATAGGAAAGAGGAGAAATCAGGACAGATCCTTAGGTTTTTAATTGAGCAAACGTATGGTTGTTGGAGGATTTAATGAGGCAGAAGACACTGGAGGAAGGCGAGTTTATGGAGTTCATGAGTTCTGTTGTGGACGTGTTGCATTTGAAGTGCTTGTGACAGCCTCGTGTCATGACTTGTAAGCTGTTGGGAATGCATGGTGGGAAAGGGACAGTCAGAGGAGAGTCCTGGGCTCCTGTCTGTCAGCAGGGACTGGATTATGTCACAGCGCAATTTCAGGAAACTAGAACAAGTTTTATTTCTTACTTTTGCTACGTGCCCGCTGCAGGTCAAGAAGGGAGCCTTTTCAGATTATTTACTCAGATACCCAGGCTGACTGCACCCTCACTTTGTTATGATGCTGCCCACCCCCCACCTTGGGGTCTTCAGTGCTCAGCAGGGCCAGGTGAGAATACACAGAGGGCATGTCAGCTCCAGAGGTTCTGTCCTTCCAGTTACATTACCTCAGTCAAGGCAAGTTACACGACCTCTGCTGACTTCCAGAAGGAGGTAGGTGCAGGTTCCAGTTATTTTCCAGGAAGAGGAAGCATTTGTGTGTGTGTGTGTGTGTGTGAGTGCTAGTAATGTCTACCACAGAGTTGATGACATCAATTTCAGTGACCTTAACATGTATGTAGTGGATGTTTATCATGCGTGGTGACTGAATATTTTCCCCATATTTTGGTAACTTTTCATATGATTAATCTGTCTTCTCAAGGACAGAGGACAGAATATTAATATTCCAGACTCTTGCAGTTTTAGATGCAGACATGTGACCCAGATTTCGCCAGTCATTTGAACCCACTGGAGGTTTGCATTGGAAAGTTAGAACCGTGAAGGCGTGACCCTGAAAGGAGGGACAGACACTCCGGCACATGCGATGACAGAGTTTGGGGTTCTTTCAGAGTGTGGAGGGAAGGAAGGGAGTGGAGCATCAGGCATCCAGTGCTAAGAGCCATCTGTTCCAAGTGGCATGGCCCTGGCATCCTCCCCAGAGGAGCCCCCTTGGTGTAGGTCGTTGCTCCTGGATGGGTAGCTTCAGAGTCTGGCCCCCTGGCCCTTCCCTCATGTACATGAGCTCCAGAATATCCCTTTACAAATTAATTTTCTCCTTAAATAAATCAGAATCTTTTCCTAATGTTTGCAGTTATGAACCTGAGCAGTAGAGTATTTGGTCCCAGGAAAGGCAACAAGCCCTCAAGGAAATGGAAATCAGTGAATGGGTTATTTAGCCTGGGTGGGTTTTCAGGCGTTGGCAGTCTAGTTAGGACAGAAACTGGGAATGCTGGTGGTTAATGGCAGAGCACGCGAAAGCATTACTTAAAGGGGTCTTCTACAATGAACTGGCTATTGAAGACAAGGCTTAGGAAAAACACGTAGCTGTTGATAAAAAAATGAGTATGGAGGATGAAGGACTACAAAGAAAACAAGGAAGACTGGCTGCTTCTAGCTGTACTGGAGAACTCGTGACAGAGAATAAGATCAAAGTTTTAAAGTCTTGGCTCAAGGCATAGTGAGAGCATCGAGGACTTGCTGTGTCTGTCAGAGGGATCTGTTGCAAAGGCTAGATGGATGTAGTTAAGATGAAAACATCCTGCCCGATGCTCCGGATTGCTGAATTTCAGATTAGCTTGAATTCACCTCTTTGTCAGATTTCTTAGTAACAGCATGTTAAATGGAAAGGAGTCAGACGCTGGAATCAAAAAGGAGGCATTTGGGAGAATCCTAAATAGCCAAACCTTATGGAGTGAATTGCCAGCAAAACGGAACCTCTTTTCCAGTCTGTTTAGGCTTCAAGACCCCTCAGATAAGTACCTTGCAAGGGGAGCCAGTTTTCTTCATGCCCCTCTGGTCACTCCTTGTTGCCTATGGTCTTTAGTTAGAGCCAGTCAAAAACTTTAATTGCTTCCTCAGTTGGTTGTTTAAAGCTTATACATAATTAAGCATAGCTTGCACTGAATGAAGTAATGATGACATAAAATTCCTTGAGTTAAAATAGAAGATCAATCCAATAAAGTATGGACACTTTTGGAGTGAATTTATCAGGGGTGGTGACTCGAACCCCCAAATTGTTTTCCTGCAAAGCCCCAGAAGACTGCAACACAGCTAATGGTACAAATGCACTGGGACGGAGGGACTCAGTGTTACTGAAAAGTATGATGGTGTTGTTCTTGGTAAGCTTTTGACATCTTTTTTGAGATACTGCCTTTGAAATGAGCTCGCTGATTCCAGTGGGGTTTGTACAATCACTGGGGAAGGGGATTAAATAAGTTAATGCATTAAAGCACTTAGAAAAGTGCCTTGTACATATTAAGCAGTCAATAAACCTTAGCTGTTGTTACTCTTCCCCTAAGAGACCTGCACCATTTAAGAGGCCAGCCGTCCTAGAGGAAGAGAAATATCCAGACACTTCACTGAGTATTGGACACCAAGTCCAAGTTTACACTGCTGGCTGGGCCACTTCTGTAATTCACTAAAAATGCTGGGTTTATTGGGAGTCAGGTGATTAGTGGGTGTCCCAGTCAGCTTGGGCTGCTGTAACAAAATACCACGCACTGGGCAGCTTACACAACAGATATTTTTTTCTCACGGTTCTGAATGCTGGGAAGTTCAAGATCAAGGTGTCAGCAGATTCAGCCCCCACATATAACCTCATCTAAACCTAATTACCTCCCAAAGACTCCACCTCCAAATACTTTCACACCGGGGTTTAGGGTTCCAGCGTATGGATTTTGGGACGGACACGTTCGGTCCACAACAATGGAGTTTGGCGGAGTATATTTTAGGGTAGGCCCTGTGGGTTTGCAAATACATTGTTGCCATTTCCCTAGTTCCTTCTGATAGTTGGAATAGTTATAATGAGCGACTGGAATGATCCACAGGTTGGATTTATAACCCATTGGGCAAACTCTATTATGGCAGGCCAAGTAGAAGTTCTTGGACCTTTTCTTTGCCTTTAAGTTTAAAAACCACAGTCTTACCATATCTCAGGTAGAATCATAGGGGTTTACATTCTCACCGAAGGAGTAGTTAAAACCAGATGAAGTATTCAAAATCATAAAAGCAGAGAAGAGAAAGCTGGTTGCCAGGGAAGGGGGGAAACATGGACTATTGTATAGCGGGTACCGAGTTTCAGTTCTGCAAGATGAAAAAGGATGTCTTTCACTTCCTCATTCTACCAGCGTGTATCGCCTGCACAGTAAATAGATGGGCCTTGGAGAGTGACGCTAGACTTTCCTACATTTAAGTAGGTGTTAATTTTAACTTCCACAGCTGTTCTAGATTCAGCCCTATTTCACCAGGAAATCTGAACAGGCTTGGGATAGCACTAGAAGGCAGCCACTGACATGGGAAATATCTTTTCCTATCCTGACAACGGGAGTAACAGGAACAGCTTCCTGTTGGTGCAAACAGCAGCACACCTTTGCCACCTCGTCTCAGAACTGCATTACGTCTCTAATTCTGCACCGTAATTTATTCCAAAGGGACCCCGTAAATCTCTTTAAAAGAGGCACAGTGGATTTCTGTGGACATTGGAGAAAATTACCACCACATTTGGGTTCTCGACATAGCTGATTTGCCAAGGGACTCAAAAGGATGCCATTTTTCAAGGGAGCCTCCGTAAGAGATAAGAGAACAGACTCCATGAAAACAACCCTCCAATGGGCCCTATGACAGCTAATCCCATTGTGCCTAAAGTATCTGTGGCAGAAGAAGGTGCTGTATAAAGCGCATGTCAGGCCTTAATATGACAGAATTATTGCAGGAGGGAAGGGGGTTTGGGATAAATTGACCTCAACTTCAATTTGTACAAACGTGACTGGACAGAAAGGTGGAATGCAGGAGTGAGAGAGGGGACTGGAGGAGGCTTGAGCAGAGCCAGGGAGGTGAAAAAAGACGAAGCGCTGGTCAGTGTAAATGCACTTAGGCCAGCGGTGTCTGTTAGCTGATAATTACTAAAGTTGGGATTCTTTCCTACCACAGAGACTGGGGGACAGAGGCGCTGTCCTTCCTGCTGAGTACATTTCAAAGGCATGACTTTCAAGACGTTGAGAAGACATTAATGGCCATCTCTGAATGGGTTTCGTGTAACAGCAGCCCAGTTGTGGTTAGTGCCAGCGTACCACGCCAAGTGAACTGGGCTCCAGTGATTTCCTTCTCAGTCTGTTTGGGATAGGACCTCCTCCTGAATAAGAAAAGTAAGTTGATAGAGGAGCAATAGTAGAAAATCAGTAGGAAAGCCTGAGTCACAGGAGATAGTGTTTATCTCTAAGGGATGGAGGAAAGATTTACAATCGTAAGCCCTTTTTAGCAAATGCTCTACGAAAGAAAGGTCAAAGGTCTTCTCGGCGGGGTGTTGCCTAGAACAGACACTGCATTCTTTGGGCAGCCTTGAGTTTTCCTTTAGGCAGCCACTTTCAGGGGGTTAGTTCATCCTAGGGGTGCAGCCTTGAGCTGTTTGAAATTATGCTAGTGTTGTTCAAGTCTTTTAATGTGGTTGTGTGTGTGTGTGTGTGTGTGTAGGTGGTGAATAAAGTAGTTTGTGCTGAGAGTCTGCTGTCCATAGTTGAGGCTTCGTCAAGGAGAGGAATCAGAGGAGACTGACCAGAGTTCAGTCAAGGAGAAAAATCTTCGTTAACTTCTCAGTCCCTGTGCCCTCCTGGTTTCCCACTAACACTCCTCTATCAACTTACTTTTCTAACTCAGGAGGAGGTCCTATCCCAAACAGACTGAGAAGGAAGTCATGGGAGCCCAGTTTGCTGGGTGTGGTACGCTGGCACTAACCACAGCTGGGCTGCTGTTACATGAAACCCATTCAGCGATGGCCATTAGTGAGAGAAGAAAAGGAAAATCCTCTCAAATCACAGAAGTTCAAGGGGCAGATTTTATGTTCTGCTTAGTCTGAACAGAGATGGCTGAAAGCTGGCTTTATACCAATTCATGAGTGATAAGCAAAAGTTTAACTAGTTGGTCTGCCACTTGATTGAAGAAACTGGAAGAGTTGGTGAAAAGGAGATTTGGGTTTAGATTTATGGACTTACTTCTCAAAGCGCACTGAGAGATTGACAATATCTGCATCCCAAGTGAATAGTCTGAGGTGGGGAGGGTATAGCTCAGTGGTAGAGTGCCT